AAAATGAAATTCTTCATCTGTGTTTGGACATTTCACTTTTATTCATTTCTTTTCAAATCTTCCAAATATAGTAGAGTTATATTTTAGAATTACTGAGGCTATTGTGGCATTATTGATATTTCATTTTCATTTTGTGGTGGTCTGTTACATGTTAACAACTGAATTTCCATTTCCTGAAACAGGGAAAATATATTTGTTTTCATTAAAAGGAGAAATGTATTTAGTAATTACATTTTGTCTTCCATTGATATATATTGAAGGTCAAGTGGATATCATTGGAAATCTGGACAAGTGGGCAAATTGGGTAATCAATCATACATGATGTCACAAAATAAAGGAAATGTTATTAAGGTAAGAAAACACTATTTGATTCTCAAGCAGTTTGCTAAGAATATATAAATTATTTTTTCAGATCTTGCCTTCCCTTCCATACTTAAGAACTGACAATTCTTGTTTTTAAAAGCTTTGCATATTACTGGATTTTGAATTTTATTAAATTTTATGGGTTAGTATGCAACTTTCACTATTCAGATATGTTTTTGTTTTTCATCTGCAAGTTGATTTTTAAAAATTCACCTTCAGTTGAATTTTTCTAACTTCAGTTTCTCCTTTCAATTCAGTTCTGGTTTTCAAGTATGGGAAGTAGAACTACATAGTTCTGTATTAAAGTGAAAGTGAAGTTATTTGATCTAACAGATGACAGACTTTTTCTGCCTTTTTACTGTATCACATTTATTTAATGTGTTCATGTTCTGCTTGAATAATAATTATTCATAGGTTGTTGATTCCATGTGTGAAGATACCCAAGGGAAAACTGCTTTAAAATTTCCCAGCTATAGAATTTCTTTATCTTTACTGTGTATTGTAAAATATAACATTACATTATATTTAAGGTTAAAAGCAAAGGAGTATCCTTATGTAATGAAAACTGCTTTGCTTCTGTATTCTTTAGTACAAGATCCGTGACTTTGTAAGTTTTATCTTATATAGCTTTTTCCTTTTTATATACCTATCATTAAACTTTCATTGGACCAGTTGGCATCTACAAATATCTTATTCGGCACTTCTAGCCTTTTTGGCTTTGAAAAGGCATTTTATTCTTTACTGTCTTTCTCTTACTGAGATATGTGACTTTAATTTTTGAGTTAAAAGTTTTATAATCCGCTTTGCATTTTTCATTATCTTTCTGAGACATTGTTCCAGGCTTTAGATGTTGTTGTAAATATATTAAAAGTGCTGACTCTTTGTGATTATTGATTTATTTATTCAATAGCATTTATTAAGTTCCTTCTTTGTCTCATAGCAAATTGTCCTTGTTCTCAAGGAGATCCTTACATAATGTAGAAGACAAGGCACATATGAACATATCTATAAGAAAAGTTGCTATGTAATTTTTGCCATTTAGTGTATGAATCATTTGTGCTTGGGAAATAATAGTATACCTCTAAAATATTTGAGAGTGTGCTAGATATATTTGTTAGGAAAATTGATGAATAAGTCATAATGCCAGTTCCCATAAACCTAATAATTGAGTAGGAGTCACCCTCCTACTCATGGGTTATGAGTAGGGAGCATGGGGTGGGGTGGGGAGGCACAGAGGTGGGAGATAAAGCAAGATTGGACAGGATGGGAGGAGGACTGAAAACCAGATTCAGGAGTCTTGACTTTTTTCACTGGGTGAATGGAATTCCCTAAGAGTTTTGATGGCAAATTTAAGGTAATGATGTGTATTGGCTAATCTCAACATCCAGTGCATTTGGAGTTTGTAAGTAGAGTATCAGTTCAGTTCAGTCACTCAGTCGTGTCCGACTCTTTGCGACCCCATGTGTCGCAGCATGCTAGGCCTCCCTGTCCATCACCAACTCCCGGAGTTTACTCAAATTCATATCCATTGGGTCGGTGATGCCATCCAGCCATCTCATCCTCTGCCGTCCCCTTCTCCTTCTGCCCCCAATCCCTCCCAGCATCAAGGTCTTTTACAATGAGTCAACTCCTCACATGAGGTGGCCAAAGTATTGGAGTTTCAGCTTCAGCATCAGTCCTTCCAATGAACACCCAGGACTGATCTGCTTTAGGATGGACTGGTTGGATATCCTTGCAGTCCAAGGGACTCTCAAGAGTCTTCTCCAACACCACAGTTCAAAAGCATCAATTCTTTGGTGCTCAGCTTTCTTCACAGTCCAACTCTCACATCCGTACATGACCACTGGAAAAACCATAGCCTTGACTAGATGGACCTTTAGAGCAAGTGATATTCACATTCTTTTTGATCATGTACCATATCAATAAAGAATTCATCTTGAGAATGAACTTTCTATCCACAATTTTTTATTTGCTTATAGATATAATTTATTTATATGCATACTAATTTACTAATATGTGCATTGTAAAACAAAATATGGAAGTTAATCAAGGATGATATAAATATGAAGAGATGTTTCTTTTTCTCTCTTTGGGCTTCTCCTGAGCTGTCTCAGGCATGCATGTATGCTACTTTTGAGGCCACTGGTACAGAAACAGAGAGACTACTTACAAGACTATTAAAAGGTCAGATGAGAAGAGTTTGAATTAGAATGTAGTGGAAGAAATCTAAAGGAAACATGGAACCAAACACAGTGAGAAAGAAAAGGAGGAAGTAAAATATATGTGATATTCCAGGATGAATTGCCTAAAAGATACAATAAATAAAGGAGCTGGAGAAAAGTTTCTGGTGTTTAGATTTAGACTTCTTCCTTCCTTCCCTCTCTTTCTTTTCCCAGACCTATTGAGGTATGATTGGCTAATAAAATTATAAGATCTTTAAAGAATACAACATGATGGTTTGATATACATATACATTGTGAATGGATTTCCCCCATTGAGTTAATTAACATATCCATATTTGCTTTATCTTTTATAAGAACATTTAAGTTCTACTCGTAACAAATTTCAAAGACTTGGAATTTTGTTTGCACTCTAATGTGCTGGCTGGAGCTGAGAGAGTAAATGTGCACCCTAAGAATTTGTAAAAAAAGGAGAAAAAAGGTGTGAAGGATAAAGGGCAGGTATGAAGGATAGAGCTCAGAAAATATGGAGGCAAAGAAAACTTTAATATTTGCTCACTACCTGTTTTATACCAACCAACAGTGCTTTTCCTGTTTTATCTCTTTAAGCGCTTGTATCACTCTTAAGAGATAGTTGCTCTTTTTTACAGTTCCACAGATGAAGTAATTTAACACCAAAAAAGTTGAATAACTTGCTCATGTCTAAGGTCAGGGCCAAGATTTGGAATGTAGGTTTTCAGCTGAAGTTCTAAGATAGTTCAGCTTAGTTCTAAGATAATTTGCCAGCCCTCTATGAAAGGAGCCTGAGAGGAGAAAGAATGGGAGAAATAGAGTCAAAGTAATGTAATTTCATAGGAGATAAAAGTCAAAGAGAACATCTTTAGGAAAAAAATGGAGAAGTCAACCTTGACTGATGTATTTGTAACAAAAGAGTTGAGTATAGTTTTAGATCGATGTTTTTCGGTGGGGGGCCGTTTTGTCCCCCAGGAGACACTTGGCGATGTCTGGACACATATTTTGCTATCACCACTGAGAGGGATATTTCTGGCCAATGGCAGTGGCCTCAAGTCAGGAGTACTGCTGAACATTCGAGAATGAGCTGGGCAGCCCTCATAACAGAGCATTATTTGGCCTAAAACAGTGGTACCAAGGTCACAGAATCCTGTGCTACACAATATAAAGTCCTGACTCATCTAGTTTTGTGATTTTAGACAAAAATTTAACCTTTTCAGGCAAAAATCTAACCGGTGACCTTTCTTGGTCTTATGTTACCATATTTGTAAACATGCATAACAGTACTTGCTGACTACTTCACAGAGTTTCGAGCAGTGCATGAGATAATATGTGTGAAACCAATTGTAACATGAACTGAAAATCATATTAAAATGGTTATTTACAGAGAGTGAGAATTTTTTAAAAACAATACATTTGATTTGATGGTTGGGTTGTCATTAGATGTAAGAATTTATTTCAAGTTGTTGAAAAAGAAAGGCAGGTGGCAATAAGTAAAGGCTAATACCTTATTATGTGGGAGACAATGTGAGCCCGTTTGTAGCTGAGGGGTATGTTGACTAGTGGAGGAAACGCTGAAGATTAAATGAGTGAGGTGCCAGTTGCTCGGGGCTTTGAAGAGGTGGCTCTTTGAGGAGGGCTTGACCAAGGGAAGGAAGGCGCATTTCCTTGAGACAGGAAAGATGGAAAACAGGTGACAGTGAAGATACATTTTTAGAGGTTGCTTTTGACAGGCAGAGAGGCAGAAAGCTGTGGAAAAATCTTTTCTAGGAAAACCTCAACCTCCTTAGCAAACTTGTAGGCAAGATCAACTGTCCACATTAAGGAAGGGAAATGGGGGTGAATTTGAATTTTGGGGACTGGAGAAGATCTGGAGCTGCCACTGTGGGAATCACGTTTGAGGTTTATTGGAGATGAGCACATAGGTTGCTGAAGCGCCATAGGAACCCAGTAGGCTTGTTCAGACTGGATTTGTAGAGGGCCCAGGAACTAATGGGGCTTCCCTGGTGGCTAGGACAGTGAGGAATCTGCCACCTGTGTGGGAGATCCAGGGTCAGTCCCTGAGTCAGAAAGATCCCCTGCAGAAGGGAAGGGCCACCCACTCCAGCATTCTTGCCTAGAGAATTCCATGGACAGAGGAGCCTGACAGGCTACAGTCTAAGGGGTCACAAAGAGTCGGATACAACTGAGCAACTAACACTTTCAGTTGCTATTATTTCATCACAGTGGTAGGTAGTTTTGGGATGTCTAAAAGGAAAGAGGTAAGGAGATTGTGGTTAGGGCCCAAAGAAACTCTGACTTTGGGATTTTGAAGGTGTGGCCATTCAGCTTGCTGCTTAGGTCCCAGGTTTGGTCATAATGGTCAGGGGGTGCTGAAGAGACACTTTAGATATGCATGGCAGTCAGCCTGTAGGAGGGTTTTCAGCATCAGGATGTCAGGTGAACACAGACATTGAGCCTCCAAGACCATCACCTTAGAGAAGTGATGGAGAGCAATACTGAGCAGATGGCTGAGGTTCAGATGGGAGAGGATTCTGGGCCCTGGGAAAGGCAGTGAGTGGATGGTGGGAGCTTCGGTAGAGGCAACTCGGCTGAATGATGAGAGCAGAACAGTGTTCTGGAAGCAGCACTGAGGAGCAAACAGGGAGAACATTTTCCTTCTCTCTGAGTGAGTGCAAGGGAATAGAAATGTAGCTAGTCCCTCTGGAGAGTCCTGTGGGGAAGGATGTGTGTGAGAAAGATGAGTCCAGTTACTGTGAACTTTTGGAAGAGATATGTTAAGAAAAGGTTTAAGGCATAATACAGTTAGATGACTATTTAATAAGGGTTTCATAGAAGGGTGGGGCAGCCTGGATGGAAGGAAAAGTAGTGGAGAACGGCAAAGGTTAAGTAGCTAATTGGATTAAGAATGAGACTTTTGGAAAAAGTGGCTTGTGGAAGGAGCGTGGGCCCGGCATGGCAGTTTAGGACATTAGTGGCAGTTTGGAAGCATTTGTGAATGCTAGGGAGGCCGATGAAGACAGCATAGTCTGACCCCAATGGCCCAGATGATATGTCTGAGCCTCTAAACTGTCCTGACCCCTGATGAGACCCCCTTTAGTATCTCCTGGTGGAGGCATAAGTTTGCTAATTAGGTATATAGCTTCAGTTTATTGAATTCCTAATGTTTTATGCATACAAACATAGGCATATCCATATATATATATATAAAACATATGTATGAATATATGTGTGTGTATATATGTTTTCAGTCATGTGAGCATTGAGTCTTGTGAGCATATAGTCCATGGGGGTCACAAACAGTGACCCCCATGGACTATAGCCTGCCAGGCTCCTCTCTCCATGGAATTTTCATGCAAGAATACTGAAGTGGGTTGCCATTTGCTACTCCAGGGGATCTTCCTGACCCAGGGACTGAACCTATGTCTCTTGTACCTCCTGCATTGGCAGGCAGATTTCCACTTTGCTACCTGGTAAGCTTTTGGACTGCAAGAAGATCCAACCAGTCCATCATAAAGGAGATCAGTCCTGGGTGTTTCTTGGAAAGACTGATGTTGAAGCTGAAACTTTAATATTTTGGCCACTGCATGCGAAGAGTTGACTCATTGGAAAAGACCCTAATGCTGGGAAGGATTGGGCGCATGAGGAGAAAGGGACGACAGAGAATGAGATGGCTGACTGATGTCACCGACTCAGTGAACATGAGTTTGAGTAAACTCCGGGAGTTGGTGATGGACAGGGAGGCCTGGCGTGCTGCGATTCATGGGGTCGCAAAGAGTCGGACATGACTGAGCGACTGAACTGAACTGAAGCTTCTGGAGCAGGGTTGGATTAGGGATACACACACACGCACAAAACCATATGTTTGCATATGTGTGTGTGTGTGTGTGTGTGTGTATCCCTGGTCCAACCCTACTCCACTCTCATCTTTTTCCCCAACAGATAAAAATCAGACTTAGGAGGAAATTCTGTTTGCCTGAAAATAGCAAGCTAGCAGTTTATTCATTGGAATATTGTATGCAGTTTGATTCATTTGAAGTAAATATGGCTGTATTCACAGAGCTGAAAAATATTCACAATAACAAGAACAAGCTACAATATGTCCCTAATAATGGGTTCATTCTGCCTTAGTATGTCCATTCTGCCCAGGTAGCCTATAACCACATGTTTCAATTCAAATGTATCATTAAGGTAAAAATATTGGAGAATTTGGTTATGAAAAAAGGGATTAAATTATCTGTAACTTGTATAACACTGCCAGTTTACAAATAAAAGTGTTTTTCACATAAAAAATGACTATTTCAATTCTATTTTCTAGTCTGCTGTGTTTGGTACATAGCATCTGAGCAGCTCCTTAAAGAATGTGAGAAAACAAATGCGCTTTTGAAGCAAACCCACTAGATTTACTGAGAATAATTAGGCCTAAATTTTCAAAGATGACTGCAGTGGTACAAGTTATAGACATAGAGGCAACCATTGTTCTCATATTCTCATGTGCAAATTGGGCAATTGAGCATGGAAATTGAAAATTGAAAATAAGGCATGAATTAACAGTGTGTGTGTAAGTGTGCACCATGCTCTGTGAATGTCTGTGTACTTCAGATGTTGGTTTTAATAAGACCAAAGCAGGTACTTGGAATCGGCAAGTCTGTTTCATTTCTTAAAATCTGAAGATCCAAGGATTTTAGGCAATTATTTATTTGAAATACCTAGCCATAATTCTTACGTACTCAATTTTTTTGGCTACACCTTGGGAAAGTCCGGGATAACAAATAATATATTTGAAAAAGGCTATGTCTATGACGCTTAAATGCTTTTCTAAATTGGGCAAATACAGATAATAATGTTAGCTTTTTACAGTTTTGTGAGCAGAATAGCTTAGTCAGAATTCAGTTTAGATTCAGTCTACACAAATATTAGACTTTGTGTGTTTCGGAAAGATCAGAGATGGAAAAGGCATACTGAGCCTTTATAATATTTAAAAGCTAGTGCTTTCCTAAAATCATTTCATACAGATGTGTAACTTTTGTTTAAAGATAATTTATGACATTTTTTTCTGAAAGTTGGCTTATATATGTTTCTAAAATATATTTTCCATTTGTGAATTTTCTCTTGATTTAATTAAAAGCTCTATATTTGCAGTAAAGATGATCTCCTATTATATTATTCGAAAAATGTTTGTTTTGTTCAAGATGCAGAAAAATGTTATGGCTTTATAGTATTTTTGTTAGTCACTTAAACTTTGAGTTATATCTGAAAAATAGTATCTGTTTTGTTAATACAGTTTTCTGCTGGAAAAGTGAAATTAAAATTACTGAAGGAGCAACTTCAAGGTAAACAGTTTACACTGTATTATTAGGTATTGTAGATATAATTATTTTTTTAACCTTTGAATTACATAGAAAATTGAAGTTCTAAGACTATTCATGTAGTATAATGACTCTAAACCCAAAATGTTGACTCTTTAGCTGTGATATTCACAATATATTTTTATCTGTGTTTTGGGGAAGGGCAATTATTTTATATAAAAAATCAACTTAGGATATGACTATAATAATAGTATTTTTGAAAGATGAGGACTTACATAGCATTGCTCCTTAAACTTTATTAATTAATATCTTAAACAGGAAGAAAATTCTAGCAGTATAAAATTATAAATTGAAATTTTACCCTAGGAAATTAAAGGAACATTGAAAATTGCTTCTTAAAAAGAGTTTAAAAGTAGCAAAACCAAATTTTGAATTTATGGTAATTCTAAAAGAAATGAGATTTATAATATAGAGGATAAATATTTAATTTGAATAATTAAGATAATTTGATAGACTATGTTCTAGAGATATGTATAACATTTATTATAGAAGTTGTTCTGTATTGGCTTCAGTTTCATCCAGAAATGGGACAGAACTCTATAAGAATTCTATCCAAAGTACAGTTTTTAACATTCTGTAATTTTATGTGTCTAGTTCAGTTGAGCTTACAGCAGAATGTATATGGATGGATGTGTGTGGCCCCGTGGTCACAGGGGTTGGGAGGGAGACTGTGGGCTCCCCAGTCTACTGGGAAGATTAGACTTGGCTACATGCCATTCTTATTGGGTACCTGATATGTATATACTATTTGAGAATATAGAAATGTGCATAATTTCCTTACTTTATCAGTCAGAAAACTGAACATTGTATTTTAATGTGATTAGTCTTTCTTTGTTTTTCCTTTCAGGACCAGTGAAACAACCACTAAATTATAAAATGGCAAATTCTTCTGAAAGTAACAAACCCAAGATAAAAGGGCAGGTTTGCGGGCAGTGTGAGAAGAAAGCTGCTCTGCTAGTACGTACACTGGGGTCAAATCTTGGAGCAGAACTCTCACATGAGCTCATACACTTGTCCCGACTTAACCTGCTTTGGTAGCCACGCACTTTTCCTTCATGACCCTTGCTAGGAGTGAATTGTGCAGGCTGATAGGAAAGGCCAGTGCTAAATGATGCACTGAATCTCAACTTCTCATTCCTGTTTAAGAACATGACCTAACTCTTGTCCTCTCTTCCTTGAATCATGCCTATCAGCACAGAAATATGCTGCAGTATTTCCCAGACCAAAGAAGAAATTCTTCTTTGATCCCCAGATCTCTTCTTGCATCCCTTTCAGTAACACTTCTGAAGAGTTGTCTGCACTTACTATCGTTGTAGTCTCTCCTTCCATTCTCTTTTTTAAAAAATTGAGTTATAATTTACCTACTGTGAAATGGGCAGATCTTAAATGTATATGTCCCCATTGAGAAAATATAATATCCCAGAAGGTTCCCTTGTACCTTTTCCAATTAATTCCCTTTACAAAACCAACTACAATTTGGATTTTTAGCAGCATACCTTTAGTGGTGCTAAACTTATTCTTGGAATTTATAAAAATGGAATGATATTGTATATTTTTTCTGTGTAAGGCTTTGTTGTTTTTTTGTATTCTTGACCCCTTTGTTTTGGAGTGCCACAGGGCTTAGTCCTCAGCCTCTTCTGTAGTCTGTTTATGTGGTTCTTTAGTCACTAAGTCATGTCTGACTCTCTAGCAACCTAGTCCATGGGACTTTCCAAGGTAGAATATTACAATGGGTTGCCTTTCCTTCTCCAGGGGATCTTCCTGACCCAGAGATCAAACTTGTGTCTCCTGCATTGACAGCCAAATTCTTTACAACTGAGCCAGCAGGGAATCCAGTCTATTTGTACTTACTGTTTGAATAGTTCCATCTCCTCTCTTGGCTTTAAAGACCATCTCTATTTTGATGGTTTCCAAACTTATGAACACATCTCTAATTAATATTTCCCCCCTGAACTTTCAACTCAGACTCCCAGTCAACACTTCTACTTGGATGACTAATGAAAATCACTAATTTAACATGTTCAAAATTCAACTCTTCAGATCTCCCCAACAATTTTTTTTCCTTACCAAGGTCTCATATCAATAAAGGTCAATTCAAACTACAGCCCTTTATAAAACAGGAACAGCTGAGTTGTACTCTCTAGTTCTGTGAAGCTGCCTCATCCATCAATACAACATTTATCCCTCTTTAGTGTATGTTTATTTTCTGTTTACCTACGATGTAAACTTCATGAGCATACGGACTTTAGCTTTCTTCACTGTTCTGTGCCCATCACCTAGAATTATGCCTGCAATTTAATAGATACTCAGCACATACTTGTTGAATGTGTTTATTTCTTTAGGGCTTCCCCAGTGGCTCAAAGGGTGAAGAATCTGCTTGTAATTCAGAAGACATAGGAGATGTGGGTTCAGTCCCTGGGTTGGAAAGATCCCCTGGAGGAGGAAATGGCAATACATTCCAGCATTTTTGCTTGAAAAATTCCATGGACAGTGGAGCCTGGCAGGCTATAGTCCATGGGCCCGCAAAGAGTTGGACACAATTAGTGACTAAGCAGAACACACAAGCACACACATTTCTTTAAAATGTTTCTGTTGTTGAAAACATTGTTATCACTGAAACTAACTGAAAGAAAGATATCCAGTATCTTTTGCAATTAAAATATCACACACTTTGGAAGCAGGTTTTTCTCCAAAGAATGTGATGGTTATAACTAATATTTGTGGGTTACTGTAAATAATATTTACTATAATTTCAGAGAATTTAGCTGTAATCACTTCTGATTTAAGATTGTCTTACTGGCCTTATTTCATGGCAATTTTAACTGAACTCAGAGATTTAGAATTCTTTCTAGTAAAGAGCTAATAATACTAAATGTAAAACCCTGGCTCTTGGTATAATGCTGTTACTATTATATAATACTTCTTTTCTTCTTACTGATGTAATGGTGGACTATAATTTGAGGAATTTTAGCAAGTTATACTTACCCAGAAATGTTTAGAAAATATAAACAAGTGCTAATATTCCTGAAGCTTGAAGTATGAAAGCTAAAAGGGACTTAAGGGCAGAACTGAATTGTTGGAATCCACTGTTCATGATCTGAAAATCATTTGGCATAGGAGGTATGAGTCAATATTTCTTGTGCCTCCTTTTCTATGTGAACACTGTATAAAGGCCATGGAATTTGAAAAAAAATGGCACATGTAGATAAGACTTGACTTGGAAATAAAGGATCTGTTTTTCCAGGGAGAAGGAAAAGCAAGCAAAGGACATTCCAGACAGTGTAAATGGCTCCTGCTTTGGCTGGAAAGCAGATGAGAATAACAGTGTACAGTGATGACAAAACTGATCTGCCTGAAAACTGTTGTAAATAGAAGCCAGGATTTAGGCTCTAACTTAAGAAAGGATATTGTTTGATTTTAAATGAAATTAACATCCCATCATGCTTTTAAAGCACAATGTTATTTTTTTTAAAAAATTTCAAGCTTGGCAAATGTAATGAACTCTGTAGTGTTGAATTCTAAGGTTACCTTGTGTTCTTAGCTTCCATCATTCTAGATCGTCATGCTGATTGGATAATCAGAATCAACCTCTCTATATCTTATGGCTTGACCTTCCTCAGGGAAGATGGTATAGGGATGGGAGGTAGGGATTAAGAGCTTGCCTTTTGGAGGTTGGCATTTCAACTTTACCTGTTGTTAGCTCTGTGACCTTTAGCAAATGACTTAATTCTTTTATATTTCTCTTTTCTCATTTGTAAAATGGGATAAAATGGATAACAGTAGTCTAGACCTCAGAGTTATTGAAGATAATGGTTAATGCATGTGAAGTATTTAACATCATGCCTAGCACATTAAGAGGAGGTAGTAAATTGTATGCCTTTTTTGTTGGCACATTTTAAATATGTTGTCTTCATATATATTGGTGGTAAAAATAAACCCTTCAATTTGCAAATTTCTTATTTTGAAAAGAAATTCCAGAGGCTTTTGGCTGTTTCTTTATGGCAAACGGGAAATGGATAGTTGAAAATTACTTATTAATTTGGCAAATGTGGATAATTTAATTAAACTCAGATGGATTCTGAAGTCTTAGCATAACTGACCCAGCCTTGATCAAATTAAAAAGTTATATGCTAGAACTGCACTTGGGTATTCCATCATTGATGAATCATCTGTGGTGGAATGAAGCCCTTATCTGTGTTTTTAGTATGTTCCTACCAGATATACAAATTGCCTAAAAAGATTTTCTAGTTGTTGGTCATTTTCCCCCAATTTAAATCCAAATATGCTTGTATAACAAAATATATGAGCTTGCTCTGTGACTCCAGCTTTGATCTTCCAGTACAATATCCCTTTGTTTATTTTCATTAAAAATCTATTGTTAGCAAATATTTGACCTAGAATTATATGCTGAAGGCTTCCCTTGTGGCTCAGACGGTAAAGAGTCTGCCTGCAATGCAGGAGACCCGGGTTTGATCCCTGAGTTGGGAAGATCCCCGGAGAAGGAAATGACAACCCACTCCAGCCATTTGCACCATTTTTTATCATACTGTAAGAGGTGTTGGGGTGCCTGTGCCATCTACACAGTAGTAATTGCTCTTGCAGTAAAAATTTCATTTTCTTTCCTCACTTTCACTCTTGCTCAGCACCATCATAGGTAGAAGTATATCACATTTTCTGACTTGTCCACAAATTTAAAAAAATTACATTTTAACAGCATATAGCATAATGACAACCCACTCCAGTATTCTTGCCTGGAAAATTCCATGGATGGAGGAGCCTGGCAGGCTACAGTCCATGGGGTCACAAAGAGTTGGACACATTTTCACTGTATGCTCAGACTGACACTCAGTCGTCTATATTACATTGTGAAAATGGTGTCCAATATTTATGAGACATTCATTAAAATATCAGCTGGTATGTTGTAGAATACATTTTGAAACCTACATTAATACAATACTACTTCCATATGTGTATGTGAAAGTATAGCTTTTAATTTTGTACTTAAAAATTATGGATTTAGTTGTTTGTATCTTCATTTATTTGACGCTATAGCTCTTGAAACAAGAGTTGACAGGCTATAACTATTTCCTGTACTGGGGATAGTACTTATTTTTCTTCTGCTAAAATTATAAGTCCAATTTTGTGTAGCTATAATCTCACTTGACAAATGCACTTGAATTCTGATAAATACTAGACCATGCCATTATTTGACATATTAGACTTATTTTATTGCAGATTTTATCAAGGTTTTCCCATAAATGATTAGTATTTGCAATCAATGGTCAATGATTAATTATTAGTAATGTGGGTATGGGTAAGAGTTTAAGCTTTGAGTCAGACCCTGGGGTTGAAATCCTGTCTCCAATAGCTGTATGATTGGACAAATTCTCAATCATTATGTTCCTTTGTTGCCTCATCTTCACAATGGAGGTACAGTGGTCATGCCAACCTTATGGGGTTCTTGTTAGAATTAAATGAGATGGAACACATGAAACCCTTAGAACAATGAGTAAGTGCTTCCCGAATGCTGTGAATATTGTCATTTGATTTGACTTTTCCTTTTTAGTTTCATTTTAGTTACATAAAATTAGTTACTCTTTTAACATTTTTTGCGGTAGTTTTCTTAATCATTTCATGTTTAGTAAACATGGCTACATTATTGTAGGTAATTGCATCATCATATGGGAATTTGCAATACAATTTAAAAAAATTAGTGAACTCCTTTTGAGTTTTATTGTATTTATTTTTCATTGAGGTATACTTGATTTACAATGTTGTGTTAGTTTCAGGTATACAGCAAAGTGATTTAGTTAAATATATATATATGTGTATATATATATATGTACATTTAGTTATGTATGTGTGTATATATATGTATTTTCAGATTCTTTCCCTTTATAGGTTATTAAAAATATTGAGTATAGTTCTCTGTCTATACAGTAGGTCCTTGTTGTTTATCTATTTTATATATGGCAGTGTGTATCTGTTAGTACCAAGCTCCTAATTTAACCTCTCACCTTCCCCTAAGTTTAGTCTACTTTTTTTCATCCTACACACTCTAATACGCACTGTGTGGTCTGCATCCAACAGCTGGTGGACATCACCTGGGAGCTTGTTAGAATGCAGGATCTCAATCCCATTCAGACCTCCCAAACCAGAGTGTGCACTGTAGCTAAATCCCAGGAGATTCATATACATGTGCAGTTTGAGAAGCGTCACCGCTGCATTGCACATCAGGCTACCACTGAACCGGAGGAGGCAGAAGACCCTGGTCTGTCACTCCCCAGCCTGCTCCAGCTGCTTTATGCCTATTGTACCCTGATACAATGAGAGAAGAAGGAGGGGAGAAGATTGGTGGGCATCCTAAAGGGGGAGGAAATGAAAGAAAGCTGAAGGGAGTGTGAGCTCCTTGACACAGGCTTCCTGACTATCTCCAAGCCTTGTGCTTTCTTATTTGTGCTATCAGTTATTCTCAACCTAGGCCAAACTCAAGGGAATGAGGGCTATTAGCCATTTGCACCATTTTTTATCATACTGTAAGAGGTGTTGGGGTGCCTGTGCATCTACACAGTAGTAATTGCTCTTGCAGTAAAAATTTCATTTTCTTTCCTCACTTCACTCTTGCTCAGCACCATCATAGGTAGAAGTATATCACATTTTCTGACTTGTCCACAAATTTAAAAAAATTACATTTTAACAGCATATAGCATTTGCTAGATAAATACACATTTGTGCATAATCATTTCATCAGGCATAAGCATTGCTGACATGTTTTTTCTTACACTTTTTTTTCCTTTGATGAATCTTCTAAGTATGCTTTTAAAAATCACATTTTGAGAATCACCAGTGAAGCAGTGCCATTCAGAGAAGTCTGTGGGGATTTTTGGAGACAAATGAATGATACACGCATCCTTTGAAACAAATTATGTCATATAAATCCATACAGAAAGATAGAAGAACTCATAATGAAGTAGTTTTGACCCAGAGATAACACTGTTAATTTTTACCAGGTTAAGAAATTTGATCTGAATTTTCTGGGTTTTTTTTTTAGTGATTTATTAAAAAGTTTTACATATGTACATGCAACTAGCACTGAAGCCTACTTGCAGCTGTTATATTTATTTTGTCATGAGAATAGTTAAGGGTTTTCAAGTTAATTTTTCGGAGTTACATCTTAACTGGCACAAATGTTGTCCTATTTCCTTGGGCTTCTCAATTTCTTGGTGTGTAATTGGAGAAATAAAGATGAGAGCAATGAGTTCTTTATGCATATGTTTTCTCAAAGTCATATTTGATGAGACTGTATGATTTTTCAATATCTTTTAAGGTATGCCTTGAATGTGGAGAAGATTATTGCTCAGGCTGCTTTGCTAAAATCCACCAGAAGGGGGCACTGAAACTCCACAGAACAACTCTTCTGCAGGTATGACATCTTAAAATGCTCTACTTGTAACGTATTTATAAAATGTTTCAACAGGAAGACATACAAGACTTGTTTAATTATCTAGAATTTAGGACGATTTGCATTAATTTCTAAAATTCTATTATGTACAGTCTTTACATGTAACTTAAAATTACTTGACAACGGTAATCTGGATTTTATTTTGCTGTTTAAACTGTTCTTTAATATAGCTCCTGAAACACTTAGCTTGATTAGAATTTTTACATTAAGCATTCTAACTGTGAACTTGACATTTAAAACTTAGACAACATTTTTTTTCTATTGTGGTTTCAAATAAACACACAATTTGTTTTAAGTATTATTTCTATCTAGTTTATAAATAGAAATCTCTTGCTTTCTTCTCATGTTTATTTTAAAAAAAAGTCTTTTATTTGTCCTCCCTCATTGTTGTTTAAATAAGCTTATTTCTCAGGTTTCTACTTTTCCTCCTACATATCACCAGCGTTTATTATCCTCATGTAATCATTTTTTTTAAATGCTTAAACCCTGTCAGATATCTTTAAGTTTCCAATATTTAAACAATAAATATGGCTAGATATAGACTTGACATTTCATGCCAGATACATTTGATGATGCACTGGTTCGTAGATTTCACTTACTGTACAGAGTCAGTGCGAGGCAGTGACCCTGTACTGATGAATACTACTAGGATCCTGCTCCTAAGGACCTGGAGATAAAAGTAAGAACCCAGGATCTTGGGGTTAAGGGATTTAATATTATCGTGTATATTTTATGATTGTCTATATTTGGAAAGATCACCGGTAGACTTTAATCATTACATGTTGCTTCAACATATATAAGTGTCAATAGCTCTCACAGATGCTGAAGACCCGAGTCATAACGGACATAAAGCATAACACTGAACTTCCTTTTATCAGTATTTACCAAAGTCAGTTACTTTTGAGTGGCTCTTCAGTGTTTAGAGCCTTCTGGCAGAAGTGAAGGAGGGAAAACAAAAATCCACTGTCTATTCCCCTGCTTCAGGAAGTATCGTACAACTGGACAGTCATAGGAAATTAAAATGAATGTGCATAAAAGTGAGTGTAATAGTTGAGTGTAATAGTTAATAGATAAATCATATAGAATTTAACTAAAGACACTCCACTGTGAGGGTAAGGAGTATAATCACCCCACTGTGAATTCACATTAGAATTTTCCATTCAGCGATTTATTCAGCATATTTTTCTAATTGTCACTCAGTGAATTTAGGCGCTGTTTTAGCTGTACGGATTATCAGTTCACTTCAGTTCAGTCTTCGGTCGTGTTCAACTCTTTGTGACCCTATGGACTGAAACTCGCCAGGCTTCTCTGTCCATAGGATTTTTCAGGCAAGAATACTGGACTGGGTTGCATTTTTCTCCTCCAGGGAATCTTCCTGACCCAGGAATTAATCCCCCATCTTGTCTTTTGTGTCTTCTGCATTGGCAGGCAGATTCTTTACCACTAGCACCACCCGGGAAGCCTTTCTTGCCTTTAATCAATCGTCCCATTGACTATCTGTCATTTTCTTACTATTTCTGTACGCTCTTTAGTTCTTTGATTTTTTTCAGTCATCTTGCTTTATTTTCTCCTTGTTTCCATCATTCTTCTCTGTGCATTAAGGTAATGTTTTGATGCTGTTGTATGTTGACCTGATGGTCGTTTTTAAGCAGTGAGTGTATATCTCTTTCTGCTTGGTGGTTTAGTCATATTAATCAGCCATAGTATTTTTAGTTCTTCACCATTTTTGGTAAAAGTCATGAGACTCTTTTTGGTCACCTGTAATTCAGATACTATTGTAGGTCAACTGTATCTTAATTTAAAATATACATATTGTGGAAACAAGAAAAAGAAGTAATGAGTTTTTTTCAATGACTGTTGAATTCATACCTAATCTGAGAATTTATATCTGAATATTAAGCAATACTATATAAAAAGAAACCATTCTAGGCTAATGGCTGCTGTACTTTATATTATTTAATCTATGTTGGCATTTAAGAATGACCTGTTTTAAGTGTTGTAAACCATTTCAACCCCAGCCTACAGATCAGTGAGTCTTTACAAAGTTCACAGTCAGTAGGGACCATTTTGTTCTGGCATATCTTGTTTCGTTTAAGAGATAAATCCCTAAAAATTATCAAAGGCAAACTATTACCATTTCCATGTTGAATAAAATAATTTCAAAGGGTCTGTCTTTCGGTTTACAATTGATTTATACTTAGAAGTGATTTCAACACAAGTTTATTTATTTTTTACCTTCTCCAGACCTCTGTGAAATAGTTAATTATCTGCAAAATAATGTGTAAATGCATAGAGTTACTGAGGATGAAAATTCTACTTCTATATTTGGAATAAATTTTCAACAATAAAAGTTGAAAAGAAAGATTTTTTCCACTGGGAAATCCTCACATTGGTGAAAAATAAGGTTTTAATATATCAGGAATTTGTATTTCCTTTTAACAACAAAAGATCAAGCAGAAGAGAACAAGGTTAATTAGAAATAAAGGAAAATGGGGGAAAACAGATGAAAGGCATTCCATTTTGAAGTATGACATGCACAGAGGGAGGCTAGATTGAGTAAATCATAACTATAATCTGGTATGTATATTTTAAAAATTGGAATGGAGATTTTCTTAACCAGAGGAGGAACCTTGGGAAGGGAGTTGGTCAGTCATGAGGCAAGAGATAATTGAAATAGAATTTCCATGTTTTCTAGTAAGAAGCATTTATGTTCATCCTTTTTATCTACAGGATAAGGTATGCCTATATACATATGGATTATAAGTGGGAATATTTGTTCATTTGAACATACATACAGGAGAATAATTGCCAGGCAGAACCTCAGTTATCATCAGAATACTATATGTTTTCTGACTTAATGGTAGAGTGTTTTCTTTTGTTTGAGAATGACCAGTATCAGCTTTTAGATTCACATTATCATTATTTGTTAATGTTTAGAATACTACAGTATTTTTCGACCATGGCTAGTCATTTAGATAGTAACATGGTTACTTACTTGATGATCTTAAGGTACCAGTTTTAAATGCTATGTGCAGACATACTGGAGATGCTATGTTGTAACATCCAGATCCTCCTCTTTAGAACTGAGAAACCTTCCCTAACCTCCTGGAATGCTGTCTGCAGGTAGATCATAGCAGAGTTTCTCCCCAGGAATTGCCTTTGCCCAAAGAGAACTGCCCGGCTTCTCTTGTGGCTCAGCTTGTAAAGAATCCACCTTCAATGAGGGAGACCTGGGTTTGATCCCTGGGTTGGGAAGATCCTCTGGAGAAGGGAAAGGCTACCCACTCCAGTATTCTGACCTGGAGAATTCCATAGACTGTACAGTCCTTGGGGTCTCCAAGAGTCGGACATGACTGAGCAACTTTCAGACAAAGAGAACCGCCACCTCCAAGTTTACACTCCATTCTGGAGGCAGCCCATCCTCTGGTCAAATATCTGGTCTAGGTTAAGGTACAAATTCTCAGAAACCCATTGCCTCAATTGAGGATGACTCAGATGGTCTATTACAGCTCCTCTTTGGGGGTTGACAGTTGCATCAAATTCAGCTTTTCTCTTTGCCCAGTTCTGCTATCTTCACTCTCCCACAGCCCACAGGTATTATTCTTAGAGCACACCCCAGTAGAAGTCAGGCAGGCAAATCTCAGAATCTTGGTGAACCTGATCTGTGACACTGTGTAATGTAGAGTCAGATTGTAGATGATTGTTGGCCAATTTTAGAATGTAGTGAAATTTTTGAAGGGCAATATATCACAACTCTTTCTTCACTTTCCAGATTCTAAACCAATTGAGCAATAGGTATTAGAGTCAGAAGGTAGAAATCAAAATATCAGTTCTATTATTGATACAGTCAGAATTAGTGGTTGCAGCACAGGTGTTCAGATAAATTCAGCTTCCTGATGCTTCCTGAAATTTAACTTTTTGTCCCTTCTCCCAGCCCTCATATTGTAGACATTTCCCTTTGGCAGGGCAGGCTCAGTCTCTTAAGTCCTACTCTTTGTGACCCCATGGACTGTAGCCCCCCTGGCTCTTGTGTCCATGGGATTCTTCAGGCAACATTACTGGAGTGGGTTGCCATTTCCTCCTCCAGGGGATCTTCCCCACCCAGGGATTGAACCTGGGTCTCCACTGGGAGGCGGATTCTTTACCACTGTGCCACCGGGGAAGTTGGCACGGCAGGATTCACCCAGATAAAACCCTCAGTGGAGATCTAGATTGGAATATCTTTCTCAGGGCAGTCAGCCCTTGGAGAAGCCAGGACAGGCAGAGGTGAGCCTACGCTCTTTTTCTTCCCAAAGCTTCACAGACAAGAATAGAAAGAGAAGGATGGGGAGTACATGTTCCCTCAAATTAAAGTACAGGTAATGTCAATATCTTGACATTATATAGCAATATATAAATTTGCTATTTATGAATATACTTAGCATTATGCAAAAGAAAAAAAATAAAATATTTAGAATATATATATACACAACTGAGTATTAGCTCAGTTTTTCTTTTCTTTCTTAAATATGAATAATTCCATATAATTTTGAGCTTGTCAAAGGGTTTTTTAAGCTGTTTTCTTATTGACCATTTTCTCCTCTATATCTTCTGATAACTTTCATATCTTCTAAGGAGAACTATTTCTGTCTTATTCATCACTGTATTCTTAGTGCTTAACATCATAGCTGGCATGTAAAAATCACATTTTTGAATGAATGAAAGAAAACATGCATAAATCCTGATGGATACAATTAAGCTCATGAAATAATTTAAGACTACATTTTAAGTGGCACAGTTTCTTTTTCTCTGAATTTTGAAAACCAAAGATTGCATAATTAATTACATGGTATGTTAGTAAGTTATGTTGGTGAAGGATTAAGGAAAGCTTTTCCTCTTGTGTCTGAGAATTTGACCTTCAGTTACCTTTCTAGCTCTTTTTTTTTCTCCTAGGAAACAGATAAAAGTCTTAATATCAACTA